GCGTCCTGCGCTCAGCTTCCCGGCAGACGCTGCGCAAGCGGTTATTTTGAATATTTTTTGTCCTCTTTCGGCGAATCAAAACAGCTACAGAAGTACCAGGAGTTCCTTGCCAACTTCAAGTGTAAAAAAATTCAAATTCTACTACAACGCAGCTCATACAAATTTCCATAAAACCTGGAGTACCACTTTGTCGAGTTTTTATCAAGTTGACTGTAACTGGAAGAGCTGGTGAAACCTGGACGGATTTCGCTCGAACTTCATCGTAAACCTCTAATTCTTGATCTATTCCTACAATATGTCATCTCAGAGGAATAAAATTCGGTAGTGGCGATAGACAGGATGTGAAATGGCACAAATGCGGCGGGCCAGGCAGACCTACGTCCGGCAAAGGGAGCAACCCCAACCTGACGGATTTGGTGCGCAAGGAGATCTTTCGATGCCTTCTCGAACGTTCATGGAACGGCCACCTTCCCCCCGGTAGTCAGGGCGAAGTTGCGAAGGAGTATGGCGTATCACCATAAACAATCTCCAGGATTTGGAAACGAGGGCGCCAACCTAGTGTCGGCAAATATGGAAGTGTCCTGTCTAGGAGGAAAGGGAAATGTGGGCGCAAGCTCCTCTATCCTGACCTTTTGGCTAGAATACAATGTACTGATGCGAAAGAACGAACAACTTTGTGCGACCTCTCGGTTGCAACAAATGTGCCAAAAATGGTTCTACACGACCGACTAAAATCGGCTGAATTTGGCAAATATTCCCGTCCTTTGAAACCATATCTTACCCAATCCAACATGTATTTCCGTAGCAAATGGGCGTTAGGCTTTATTAGCTCGGACTTCACTATGAAAAACATGGAAAACTACGTCCATGTGGACGAAAAATGCTTCTTCCTCAAACTCCCAAAATGTGCATTTTACGGACTCTTTGGAGAAAAGACTCCGCCAAGACCGGTGAAACACAAAAGCTTTATCCTCAAGGTAAACAAATAAACACAATAAACCTCATCAATTACATAGGTCATGTTGCTATGCGCCGTAGCTAAGCCCCGCTGGGATAATGCCACAAATTCCTGGTGGGACGGCAAGATTGGCTGTTGGTCATTGACAGAAGTCATTCCTGCCGCCAGAAATAGCAAGAACCGCGCCAATGGAACACCAATGACCACACCTCTTGTGGTTGCGCGTGATGTCTACAAGAGAGTGATCTTAGAAAAAGTCATACCGGCGATCAAGACAAAATGGCCCCTTCATAACTCTTGAAAAATAAATCTCCAACAAGACAACGCGCGCCCACACGTACCTCTTGACGATAACGACATTCAACTCGCTGGTACGTCAGATGGATTTGCCATCTCCGTCGCCTGCCAACCCGCCAACTCGACCGACACTAACGTGCTGGATCTTGGATTTTTTCGTGCCCTATAATGTGAAGCGTCATGCACGATCATTGGACGGCATTGTCACCAACGTACTTGCCGCGTGGAATGATGTGCATTGGACGACGCTGCTTGCCAACTTCCGCACGCTGCAGTTCGTCTTGATCGAGATTCTCAAACGTGGTGGCGGCAACGGTTTCCGCTTCCCACATCCGAAAAAGTGCCAACTGGAGGGCCAAGGCCGACTGCCCGAAGAACCGCTTTGTCCCGTCGACGTTCTTGAGTCTGCTTGTGTCCTTCTCAGCGCCGAGGACGAACGTGTCCACGATGCGTCCGCCGAAGTGGAAACGGCTCTGGCGTCGAACGAAGTGGTGTTGTGCAATGCGTTCGAAGAATTGCAAATTGGCATCGATGATATCGACGAGTTCGATACGGATTCCCTTTATGAGTATATTCAACTTTAAATTTTTTTTGTAAGATTGTATTTGATGTGACAGGTAAAGTTGTACTCAAGGTGTATGTAGTTGATGTATTAATTTGTCCTGTATCAAGTGAGAAAAGTACTTTGGCACTTCGGAGCATCACAATGGATATTAAACGTCTCCTGAAGCGCTTGGTATGATGCTCTATGATATATTAAAGTTTGAGCTACTTCAACCTTGGTCCTAAATAGCCATGAGCTCAATCAGTTATTGTGTCATAGAGGTAATTAATTTTTGGAGGTTTTGGAACACGACAATTGATCGCAAGTCGTCATCAGTTATCCATGTCAGATGAAGTGGCTCTTCCAGTTAAACTCGGAAGGAGGTAGTACGTTTATTGTTTTACACTAGTATCCGAAAATTTTTCATTTACATTAGAGTGATTTTGCAAACGTGAATTTCCTTGAGGACTTTCCTTGTGCGCTATAAAATCGCGCACAGATAGAAATTCGTTTCTAGAATTTCCTTGTGCAGAATTCTCACTGGGAAGAACTTTTCACGTACTCCAGTTAAGCAATGAGCGAGCTCAGCGACACTACCAAACGAAAGCCAGCCTATCGGTTTACAATCGCAGCCGACGTTGACCTCCTAAAAGAGGTCGTATTGGTGGCCCCGTTCGATGCGGGCTATGGGCAAACAACTGCTAGGTGGGATGAGATCGGTGACAACATGAGAAGCATCCATGGTGAAGCCGTCACAGCAATCTGCTGCCGCAGGCGGTTCGACGAATTGCTGGCCGCATTCAAAAAGGCCACTCTGAAGGCCCTTCGTTCGTCAGGCACGGAAGAGGAATACAACGATCGTGATCAGCTCCTGCAGGACATCGTTGACTTGGTAATTGAACAATGTGCGTATGTGGTTTGAACGAAATGACAGTTAGATTGATGCGGCAGCTACAAAGAAGAAGGCGTTAAAGCAAGTTCAAGATAAGCGAGAGACCGATGGCCACCAAATCCGTGAGGCGGCGTTCGTGAGTTTGAAAAGAAAGCTGTCGACGACTAAGTGTCGTCACTAAAGGGGGCGGAGGCGAACGAAAAACGACGCGTTACTGCAGTGAAAGAGGCTGCCTCTGTGGTTGCCACGTTTACCGACATGATGCTGGAATCAAACAAAATCAAAGCAGAAGAAGTTGCGACCAAGAAGGAAGAAATCACGCTCGCCCAGCAGAAGCTGGAACTCGAACGCGCACGATATGAACTTGACAAGGCTGAGCGTGAAGCCCGTTTTGCAGTTGAAAAGAAGGAGCGCGAGGTACAGATGGAGTTCATGCGTAGCACAATTGAAATGATGCGTGCATTGACAAAATTGATATATGTCGATTTATATTGTTGGGTGTGATCTTCATGAACAATACTGTCTTTGTTGTCTCTCATCTGCATGAATAGCATCGTGGAAAATTGTACTTCATGGACGCGATGTATTGTACGCCTTATGCTATGTGGATTTTACATGGAGATACTCCTCAGCAGTAGGAGGCATAGCACCAAAGTAGCTGGAAATTTGGTTGCCTCGCTTCATACAGGTATGGACATTTGTCAAAATAACTGCGACGGCATACTGCAAGCCAACTGCTTGAAGCCACAGCTTCTGTCCACCCTTGTAATCTACGAATGTCCACAAGTTGCGAACTACACCAAAACCCCATTCTACACTTACACGCAGAGAGCTCTTTTGCCGATTAAATTCAGCTTGATACTCATCGAGACGTGCACCTTTGAATCCACACACAATTACATCATTGATCCCATAAGTGGGATCTCCGTAAATAACGTATCTTACATCGCCTACCTTTAGCTTTGGCGCCAAATTAGCCACAATATTACTTCTCGCTAGTAAGTAAGCATCGTGTCGGGAGCCTGGCTCGGGTCCATAAAGATGAACAATTATTCCGTCAGGGGACGTCACCGCTTGATATTTCACAGCATGCTTCCTCCAAACAAAACAATTACACACAGCATAAAATCAAACTCCCAATTCACCTTATGCCCATTTTACGCTGTCTTTTGCACACGCTTTCCAGGGCGACAAATCCCGCGCACTGTGCCGTCAATGAATCCAATGCATGTTTGAAGGGGGGCGCCTTGCGCATGTATAGCGTCTGAACACTTCCGCATCCATGCAGCGTCAATTCGATCGTCGTCCCAGGACAGCAAATGGCCAAACATGTCGTATATGTGCTTCAAGACGTGGCACGCAATGGCAGAGAGTGCCTCACGGCTCCGACCAAAGAGCAACACCATGGTGCCAAGACGGTGTGGCCACGCCAGACGGTTCAGTATGATGCAAAGGGCTTCCACGCGTGGTGCTTTGTAGCGGCCGGCAGTGACGACAGGGTCAGGTAGCTTTAGCAGTCGTACAAGTAACATGATCTCGTGCTTATTGAAACGAAAGTTAAACTCGCAGTCTTGGTTGCTCTGACTGTTTATGTCGAAGCGATGCGCAGGGATTGTTATTGCTCGGGACCCATTGGCAAGATACTCCACGAGCCCGGCGACGAGATGAAGGACGGTCTGTCCATTCTCCATGGGTGAATTCGCAAAATCCTCTGTGGCAAACACAACAAACCAATAAATTTCCTTGTTGCAAATTTCGAGAAAAGTCCACAAGGAAATTCACGTTTGCAAAATCACTCTATTGGATTGGCGGTACAGTGATGCCTCAATAGGTAATTCATCAAGTATAAAAGGTATCAAATTGAAAGGCATCCGACAAATGTCAAATTTTCAAGTTCTAGCTACGACATCAAAAAAGACCATAGGCATGGAAGAGCCGACACGGAGCGTCTCAAGAGCAGCCATCAGTGACCTTGAGGTAGGATGCCTGTATGCGCCCAGCTTTTCTAATCGTTGATGGTGCATACTACAGTCCGACCGTTTTCTATAGACGCACCTCGAAATATTCGAGTTCGAGATGATGCAATGCGTTTCAGTTGCTTTACTTTGAAGTACATTGATGGGATCCTTCTAAATTGGCATCCTTTACGTCGCCATCGCCATTCGATGTGCAGAGCTTGCACAATCGACAATTTTCCACATTTGGGCTGGCCGGTTTCTATAGACGCACTTTGATTACAATCCCTACTTATCAATAAATTGACCTCGGCGCAGAATAACTTGTGCCATTCGTGTTGGCATGCCTACGATGAGGCTTTGCAAGTGACACGATGCGGCATCAACGAGGGAAAAACAAGTGTGAATTGAAGGTCGTTATCGATCAATGGATATCAAGATCGTTCTAGATTTCTACTGTCGTACTCCAAGTTGCAATGCCAGTACAGTGTACCTGTGACTTTGTGCACTCTGTCAATGAGTTTTCACACTTCCCCTCAAGCAGAGACTGCTTGAACTCAGCGAACTTTGTCCCAGTGAGCGGTTTGGTGAGACCATCAGCCAGTTGACCACTTGTTCGCACGTGAGTGAGCTTGACCAGTTTCTTCGCAATATAATCACCCACACAGTGGAGAGAGACGTCGAAGTGCTTGGTTCCGTCGTGATGAACTGGGTTATTGGCAAGCTGGATAGCACCCATATTATCTTCAAAGATGTTCACAGCGGTAGTGCGGCAACCTACCTGATTGAGTAATTGACGAAGGTACAACGCTTCCGAGACGGCCGAGTTCAACGCAAATATTCAGCCTCAACCGACGACTCAGCCACCAAAGTTTGCTTCACGCTACGCCATGAGAGAGGGCAATCACTAAGGAGAAAAACGTAATAACCAGTTTGACTCTTCCGATCGGTCCCATCGGATGCCCAGTCCGCATCGCAATATCCAACGGGGTCCAGAGCAGTAGGACCACCAAGCCAGAGACTGTAATTTCGAGTCTTCTTGGGATAGCGAAGCACGTCGATGGCAGAATCGTACAAACGCTTGGTCGGGGCTGACAAGTGCGGGACAATAGAGAGACTGCATAGCTGATGTCGGGGCGTGTCCACTGTTGCAGATGGAGCAGAGCGCCGACAAGTTCGCGATAGGGTAATTCCGAGTCCACAACATCGTCAACGTTAATTGTTGGTCGGCTCTTCATTGGCTCATGTAAATTATGGCCTTGCACGTCAAACCGGTCCAACAACTGTTGAATAAAGCTGGACTGACACAAGTAGAGCTTCTTGGAGGAGCGATCGCGCTCCTCCATAGAGACACTGTGGCACCCAGGCAATACTCCAAATCTCCCAGTTTCTTCACAGCAAACTTGGAGTCCAGAAAGGACTCAAACTTGAGGACCAAGTCAGTGTTGCGTGCACACAGTATCAAATTGTCGACGTATACCACAATCAACGCATCGCTCTTGCCCAAGACATAAACACACGGATCCGATGGAGCAAGTTTGAATCCACAACTTGAGCGTCTTGTCGAGTAGCGGATTCCAACTGCGGGGCGACTGGCGAAGACCGTAGAGACTCTTTTGCAGTCGGAGAATTGGATTATCGTCGGTACACCCTTGCGGCTGTCGAATAAAGATGTCAATGTCAATATTAGCGTTGAGAATCGCGCTGTCCACATCGTACTGCTTGATCTCATAGTCTTTGGCCGCCGCAATCGCTAACACAGCACGGACAGCAACAATACGAGCGACAGGGGAATACGTATCACCAACGTCGATTCCAGAGACTTGCATGTAGCCCCGGTTAACCAATCGCGCTTCGTATTTTGCAATTTGCAGTCCTTGTCGAGTTTCTTTTTGAACACCCATGTTGTGTCCAACGGCCGTTTTTTAACCTCGCCGGCATCACACCATGTTTCATGCTTACGTAACGAATCGAGTTCGTCTTGAATCGCTCGTTTCCACTTGTCGGCGTCAAGGCCAGCCAGCGCTTCGGTAAATGATCTCGGCGTGTCGTCCACATGTAAATACACATCCGCAACGGCCAGACAAAATTATTGTGCATACCGCTGGGGCATTATCACCCGACGTTTGCTGCAGCGTAGAGAAGGAGCGCATCATATGACGATTCAGCATCATCGTCCGTTGGGAGTTTGAAGCCACGTCTTTCGGAGGTAGAGGGCATGTCGTACACCGTTTCACTTGAGTCGTTCCCGTCAAATTCACCATACGACTCGTCAGCATTGTGACCAATTGGGATATCACCATCCAAAAGTGGTGGCCGAGGGTCAGCATCGTCTTCATTGGTTACATCAATTTCCCGATTTGTGTCGTGTAGATTGTCACCATCCGCTTCAGAAACTACAGAACCACCGGTGGGAATATCACAAACATTTGAACCAGTGTCATTTGGAGGATCGGGCGACTCCGCTGGTGTAGTAACCTGTCCCTCGGGGCCAACACCAGGCACTTCGGAATGTAGTGGCGGCTCGGCTGGTGAGGGAGACTGCCCATCGGAGGCAACGTCGGACGCATTAGAATCTGGACCAGACGTGGATGTCAAATAGACTGGTGGCGGGTCCGAAGTAGACACAGTGGAGAGATCCGAGAGCTCAGTGGCCGGGATAGGATTGGAGTCAGGAGGAGAAATCAAATTTCCCAAGTACGAGTCATCTGTAGCATGTGTTGGAGAGAGCGCAGCATCGTCGACGAACACCCAGTGGAGAAATACAGGACCCGACGTGTTGCCAAATTCAGCACTTTGTAGCTAAGGTGATCGAACCCCAGCAGAATACACTTGGACCCGCGATCATCGAGCTTGCGACCAGCCGAGTTGAGGGCAAAACAAATTTGTCCAAAGCGTCGAATGTAGGCCATGTTAGGCAGGCGACCGGTAAACGCCTCGATAGGAGTTTTGTTGTTGAGATGAGACGCAGGAATTCGGTTGCGCAGATGCGCGGCACACTTGAGAGCATCTGACCAGTAACCCTTGCTGAGTCCGGCGTCCTTGAGCATAGCGCGGACCATAGAGCCAAGTATA